TGGAGGAGCAAATGTGCATTCTTTGAAAGTTTAACCTCCTTTAGAAATCTGCTATTCTCATTAGTAAATCCTGGTCCTGGTTCTCAGCTTTATCTTCCCACTGAGAGAAGTAACTCTTTTGGTGCGCCAAACAAAGCCTTGCTTTCATGCTGAACATTTAGTTGCCAATTGTCTTTTCATTATCTTTTTCTAAAATGTCAGTCAAGCTTCACAATTGTCACTCAATTCTTTTATTCCCCTTCCTCCCTCTGTCTCTTACTTCTTCCCCTACCTGCCTTCTTCTCTTTGTCCTTGCTGTTCACTTTGTGGTACTAGAGACTGAATGAAGGGCTTCTCTCTGAGCTACATTTCCCAATGCTTTTTATTTTGAGACAGAGGCTCACTAAGTCCCTAAGTTGCCCAGGCTTGGCTCAAACTTGTGGTACTCCTGCCTCGGCCTCCCAGAGTTCCAGAATTATATCATTGCCAAGCCTGACTGCCTTCCTTTTTATAGTTCCTATTTCTCCCATATTTTGCTGTGTTGTTCTTCTTTTTTTTTTTTTTTTTTTCGGTACCAGGAATCAAACTCATGACTTTGCGCTTGCCAGGCAGGCTCTGTGCCGCTGAGCTAAATTCTCAGCCCCTATTTTGCTGTGTTGGATACAGCTACAACATTCCCTCCCACTAGTATACAATCCCTGTTTACTGAGGGTCAGTGTTAACAAATGCAGGACTGTTTGTGCACTACAGGTATTGGTGGTGAGGTGTTCTCTGTCATCCTCACAGTGGGCGATCCCACTCTGAAATCCCTTCCCTTTGGTTTCTGGATGTTATTACTGGCACCAAAAGTCACAGGCTTGTTTCCCTGGAAAGCAGATTCTGAGGTAAGAATTGGCATGTTGAAGACTTTATAAGTGCTAAAAAAAAAAAAAAAAGAAGTGCTAATTTTTTTTGACATTATATCTTCAAATACTCCTGCTGTACTCTGTCTTGCTTTTCCCTCTTAAACTCCAATCATACATAGGTCAGATTATTTGAGAGGCTTATAAATTACTAAAGTTGTTGTCATACTTTCACAGTCTCTTCTTCACATTAATTTTTCTTAGTCTGTTTACAATTTCTGTTTGTTTAACCATCTTTCTGCAACCTGTTTGTTTCAGTTTTAAAAGATACATTTGGTTATTATTGTCATTTATGTCTATAGATGTTCCCTGTCTGCTCTCTCAGGAACATCCTTTCCTTTAAGTTCTTAAATTACCTGAGTAACCACTTTGAAGGTAGCAATATGTAATATAATAACCATTGTTAATTTATCACCTTGTTCTCAAATTCTGTATCATTTTTACTGTTTATATGTTGTTTCCTTTATCTTTTTGTTCTCTCTTTTAAAAAGGAAAAAAATACATATGTATATACAAGGATAGCTGGAATAACTGTATTGTTAATGTCTATTGGTTTATTGAAAGGAACAGTTAATGTTTAAATTTTTTTTCTTGACCAATTTTGCATGCTTATACCTGGTTATCTGGACAACTAATTTGAAGACAACAATATGCAATATAACAATCATTGTTCCATTCCTAACATCTTGTTTAGTAAAGCTCTGTTTCATTTTTAATTTATTATTTGTACTCTCTTTGTTTAATCAATCTTGCATTCTTAGATCTGGTAATATGAGCAACTTCATTGAAGATAACAATATGTAATATAATAACCACTGCTAATTCCTATCATCTTGTTTTGAAATACCGTATCATTTGTATTATTTTGTTTTTGTTTTCATTTTCATTCTTTTGTTATTTCTTCTCTTTAAAATAAAAAATACTAAACACATAAACTTTTTAAAAGTTTTGTTGTCTTAATTGCAACATGTGGATTTTCTGAAGTGCTTAAAGAGGATTTTGATGAGAGCTGTGACATAGTCTTAAATTATGTTTTTAAAGTATCATTCTTTCATACGGTAAATGGAGTGCAAAAGCCAATGCAAATGGAGTAAATGAAGTAAATAGGGGGTACAAAAGTCATAGTGAATATCATTTATGCTGAGAGTAGTCAATGAAGGTCGCAGGTTAGAGCACTGGTGTGGATGACAGGAGTTGGTCTTGCTGATAGATTGGAGATGGGACAGAGAAAAGGAGAAAATTAGCACATAAAGTCTTGGATATCTTACTCAGTGACTAAAATGAGATTGTCATTAGAAGTTAACAGCAGAAAGAGATTTTTCAGGAAAGAGGCAAAATCCCATTTTGTTTGGTCATGTTGAATGTGAGATATGAGCTATCCAAGCAGAGAAGCTGAGGAGGCAATTAAGTGTGGAGCTCAGAGCTGAGACCTGGGATGCTATGCATGTGAAAGGTATATGGATGGTATTTAAAGCCAGGGGTCCTAGGAGACCAGGTGTGAGGACCAGGGAATGAGGAAAACAATGTGAAGATGATGTAGAAAGAGAAATATAACATAGTAATATCGAAGAGATAAAGTGGAGAGTATGGCTCAGAAAAAAGAGATGATCAGCTTGTCCGATGTTGTTCACTAGAAAGACTGAGAATCAAGCCTTTATTTTGCTAATCCACTGAGATTTCTGGCGTTATTTCTGCAGTATATTAACATATTAATCAATACTGCATAATCTAACTTCTTGAATTGTTTAGAATTTAAATTCTGAAAGCAAGTACTGAAGTTTTAATTAGAAAACTCAGGAGAGTCCTCTATGAGGTCATTTTGAGCATTTTATCCAGAAAAATGATTTTATTAATCAAGATAGTTTTATTCTACTTGTTATTACAATATCGTATGCACTGCTTCCTTCCTAAAACATTTACAAAAGTTACTGCAAGTATTACTCTAAGATTCTGGAGAAGTGCAACTTATCAGTAAAATGAATACTAATGTTCCTTTTCTAGTAATACAGTGACACACTGCTTGAGACACTGTTGGCCCTCAATAAATGTGAATGTGCCCATCACATACCTATTTTATTAATGCACCATCAATAAAGAGACTGCAGCACTAAGTTAAGCAGCCAAAGGCCAATTTCAACTTGAATAGTTGATATGAAATTTGTTTCCTTACTGCAGGTCAAAAACTTATGTAAAAACGAAATCTAAATAGAAGGAGGTATATTGATTCAGGGTCACTCTAAAGATAGAGAAGCAAAGCTGGTTGCTGGGTTCTGAAACCCAGGATAACCTCTAATCTCCAACCTGGTATGTTTGGGAAGACTTCAGTGGGGTGAACAGAATATTTTTATAGTTAGTCCACCAGATTAGGTTCCCCTTTGTAAATCAGTCTAGAGGAAGTGCCTTTCTTCCATTAGTACAAATTGGCACGTGCGCACGTTTACATACCCATGCAATGGAGTAACATTTGCAGAACTACCAGTTTGGGTCTGACAGATTCAGGTAATAGTTATAAATGTTATCTTGCAAAGGCTGATGAGAATCAAGGTGTCTCCAGTATCTGGGGTACAACAGAGTGAGACCAGAGGATGGTTTTGGCATTGTTTTTAATGCAGTGTGGTTCTTAACCGCTCCCCACCTACATATCTAGAAATAGTTTCCACGGTCTTGACTGTGGGGGAGTGGGTCGCAGGACCTTGACTGAGGACAGAGATCAGCGGTGAGCTTTAACATCTTATAAATGTACCCGATACGCAGTCAAGGAGCTATCAATTCTAAACGTCAACAGTGAGAACTGAGAAATGCTGCCTTTGAAGTTACTTTATAATCTACCTTTATATTTATAATCATGAACTTATTCCAGGACCTGGTGCTAAAAAAACTCCGCTCAAGTCTGCTTTTTTAATTCCAGTCCGACTGGCTCATACAGTAATGCGTACAGGATTGTTTTCTTGTATGGTATGACGTTCACTCAAAAAGCAGATATCCTGTGCTTGAACAAAAGTCTAGATTTTTGCTCTGCAGCCTTTTTACATTTTGCAGTTCCCTCTCTAAGGGCTCCTAGAAACTGGACTGAGAAAAAGCGAGACCAAGCTCTGGCCCCCTTTTTGGGGATCCCGCACTCTCGGGCCGGTCAGGTGCTCCGAGGCGGCGCGGGTCCTGCGGGCGCGCGAGGCTCCCGCTCTTCTCCCGCACCTGTCCCTCCTGTCCGTCCTGTCGTCCCGTCCGTCGGTGCCAGGCGATTTCAGGCGCCGCCGCTGGCCCTGCGGAGGCTGCAGGACTCCACGACCAACAGGTCAGTCGCCCGCGTCTTCCCCCAGCGCCCTGGACACTAGTGCCCCAAAGCAAGGCAGGGACCCGGGGCGGGCAGGGGCGGCGGGGCAGCG